TTCAGCAATGGTGAGAGTGTTTCCTAGAAAACGAGGGAAAGGAATGCGGCTCTGTCATGGTCAAAGACCATCCCCCCTTTGCCCCGCCAAAGAAGGGTCAGTGAGAGAAAACTGGGCCAAAACTGAGTTCAGTACTCGAGACTAAAGTGTGTGTGAACTAGAGATAAAATTATGTGCGTGAAACTTGACAATATGTTACGTGTGTGAGAGAGACGTGGCAGTGTGTGTACATGTGTGGTATATGTGTGACTTGGCAGTGGGTATAGGTGGGTGTATGTGGTGTGTGTGTACTGTGTGTATGTATACGTGTGTTAGGGATTTGGCAGTGTGTGTGTTCATGACTTGGCAGTGTGTGTGTGGGCGGTGAACTGATGGTGTGTATGTACGTGTATATATGTGTGGTAGAGGATCGGTGAAAGGGAAGGAAATCCTCAGTGAGATGGATTGACACAATAGCTACAACAATGGGTTCAAACATATAAAAGACCATGAAGATGGCACAGAACTGGGCAACATTTCATTCTGTTATACATAAGACAGGCATGAGTCAGAGCTGGCTTGACGGTAAATAACAACATGTTGTGTGTATGTGACTTAGTGGTGGGTGGTGGATACGCAGGTGAACTTGCGGTGTGTGTGCGTGTGTGTGTGGTGGGGAAACAATACCAAATCTACTGTCTGGATTGTAATCCTCAGTGAGTTCAAACTCAGCTCTTGCTCACGGTCAATCACTAAAAAAGCAATTAACGTTAAGGAGAGTAAGTCTAAAATACTTAAGAATCTCTCAACGTGTCAGAGTTACAAAGCTCAGTGCTCACTATAGCAACAATCTTTCCCTGTTCAAACAATGTATTGTCGGATTCCCAAAGGCCATGGTCATGGACCAGCAAAACAGGAAGAATGAGTACTGATATCTAAACATATGTACATATATAACCGAACACTATAGTTACAGACACACACCGCTATTTATTTGTGCTTCTCCCACCCCTTTTCATTATGTCCGCGTAAGGTTGCCAATTGATTATATCTTGCCACATTTTTGGCTTTAAGTGGTTCCTCCTTTTATGAAATAATGTCGTGAGGGGTTGGCAGGTTTTTTTCTAATATCCTGACTTGGCATAATAAAAAAATATCATCTCAATGTTTCCCCAGTTGTTTGGAACTGTTACTAGTCCATGAAATCTAAACAACTGGAGCCCGCATATAAACTCTGCTGTTGTTTTCTCACCAAGACTTGGGGGAGGGGAAGAGCGTGGAAACTGAGTCAGGGATATTCTCGTGCCTTCCCTCCCTTCTGAATCAGTGGGAACCTGCTATCGGTAGGAGACGTGGTGGATTTTTTTTTTTCTCTCTCAAGGGATTCTGTCTTCTCAATAGGTGAGGAGATGCCCAGTTGTTCAAATCCATCTTTTGTAACAGGATCCGTTGTCTTTCTATGCCTTGTCACAGAACTCAAGAGAACATTCTAAAATCTTAATGTATGCTAATAAAAGCAGTATACTCATAAACCAGTAACATTAAATTTTCACAGGAATCCGGGGATCCATAAAGGCGAGGGGCAAGGGACAGAGTCGATTCTTCATACACAGACGTCCTGAGCCTCCAAGTTTGTTTATCCATAATTGCTATGCAAGTATAAATTAGAACAACAAATGCATCCTGCCTGACAGTGGTGACACCAACTCTGTAAATAATTATAATTTAATCTTATAGCAGAGTCCTGAATGACTCCCCAAACGATTTCTTCTGCTTAACTCCTTCCCCACTGAGTGAATACTCTTTCAGATTTGTTTCACTCCAGAAGTTTGGACAACGTGTAGACTCACACCTGGAGGGCAGAAGCTGTGGGAGACCATTTGGCCCACAGATAAACAAGTGAGTCAAAGAGGCCTTGGGACTGGAAGAGAGGGAACTGGCAAAGAAAGCCGTCATGGCATTTGTTTACAGAAGTGAAAACTTGTAAAGAACCTAAGAAGAGATCTGGTTAAATAAAACCAGTAAAGACTAGTTGCCATCAAGTCGCTTCTGACTCGTGGTGACCCCATGTGTGTCAGAGTAGAAGTGTGCTCCATAGGGTTTTCAATGGATGATTTGGGGGAAGTAGATTGCCAGGCCTTTCTTCCCAGGCACATCTGGGTGGACTTGAACCTCCAACTTTTTGGTTAGCAGCTGAGCACCACTTGCACCACCTAGGAACTCCTGGTTAAGTCAGCTATACCACAATCTTACAAGGGAATACTACACGGCCCCAAAAAGCCTTCATGGAGTTAGAGTCAGACTAACTGGGGTTGAGTCCCAGCTCTGCTGCTTACTACATTCAAGCAAGACACATAACCTCTCTGGACCTCATCTATAAAATGGAGGAAATGATAGTATCTGCTTTATAGAGTTATTATGAAGAGGAAATGAAATTATACATGGTTGTAAAGAGCTTAGAACTGGCCTGGCGCACCCTGGTAGTAAATGTTCAATAAATGATCCTATTATCACATCTATTATATTTTGTGGGCTTCCATAATGATATAAGAAACAATTTCATGATATAATGCTAAGTTAAAAAGAGATAACTAAAAGGACAAACCATAGAAACAGTGAAAAGATCAGTGGTTGGCAGAAGTGCAGAGGGAGGGAGGAGGGATGAATGGGTGGAACACAGGGCATTTTTAGGGCACGGAAACTACTCTGCATGACACTGTAATGGTGGACACAGGACATGCATTTGTCAAAACTCAACACAAAGAGTGAACCCTAGTAGGAACTATGGACTTTAATTAATAATAACATATTACTATTGGTTCATCAGTTGTAACAAATGCACCACATGGACACAAGATGTTAATAGGAGGAAGTGTGCAGGGGGGAGGAGGACATATGGGGACTCTGTGCTTTCTGCACAATTTCTCCATAAACCAAAGACTGCTTTAAAAATAAAGTCTATTAAAAATAGATAATTACAGGTATATTAAGATCCTAATTTTGTAATATTAAAATATATAAAAATAGCCAGCTAGCTTGATCTAGGTAAAGCAAAAAGCCAAAGAGGACTGCATCATAATTTTAATAATTTTTTAAAAATGTCTCTATACTTTTTAAAAATATTTTCCATGTTTTCTATAATGAGCATATAGATTACACTGACAATCAGAAAAAAAATAGGTAGTTTACAGAAAGAAGGAGGAGTCAGAGAATCTTCAGGCTGGAAGGCTGCTGGGATTCTGGGTCAGTGCAGGTACATCTAGCTCTTCAACCTGACTCCCAGCTCCAAATGCCCAGCCATTGCTCCCAAACTAGTTTACAGAACATCAACCTCCATAGAGCAATTCAAGGCTTGAGCTCATCTGTGCTCCTCTCAACACCCCATCCAAGGTAGTAAGTGACCTGGCCAAGTTCCTGTGACACGCTTACGACACCAAGGTCTTCGGACTTCTAGTCACTGCACTGGGAAACTTGAGTTCTCAGGGGTACACTGGTCCTCAAATCTCAGAGTCCGTATTTGGGATGAATCCAATCCCATTTTACCCCTCTCAAGTAATCACACTTGTCTTCCTACCATGATTTTGTCTTATTTTTCTCATCCAATAGACTAGGAGCTCCTCAATGAACCATGCCTTATTCAACTGGGTGTTTCGATCATGTGTTGCCATGATGCTGGAAGCTGTGCCACTAGTATTTCACATACTAACAGGGTCACCCATGGTGGACAGGTTTCAATGGAGCTTCCAGACTAAGACAGACTAGGAAGAAAGGCCTGGATATCTACTCCTGAAAATTAGCCAATGAAAACTCTATGGATTCTAGGTTGGAAGGCACTCAAAATACACAGTAGTCACAATAATGGACTTGAGCATATGATGATCATGAAGGTGATGCAGGACTGCGCAACACTTTATTTTGTTGTACTTGGGGTCACCATGAGTCAAAGCTGACTCAACAAAAACTAACAACAACAACCACAACACCCAATACCCGGTATAAAAAGAGATTCAATAAATGTGCCCCTCTCTCCTGTTTTCTTCCTCTCCCTCCCCTCCTTTCCACCCCCACTGACTACTGTATCTCCGTCTTCCTTGGGCACTGCCCTTCACTAACTCTTGCAGCCACCTACTTTCGGCTTTACTTGGCAGCCTCAGTGACACCCTCCATCCCCACACACCAAGCCCTGCCTTTCCCCTGGCACTGTGGCAGTGAAGGCTGCACAGATGTGCCGTCTTTGCCTAAGGCACATCTGGAGACACATCCTTCCACTGGCTCCTGATGTGCTGACAAAGGTCATTGTGATCCCCTCATCCCGACAATACAGCCCAATGAGAATATGAGACTGCATTCTAAATGCCACACCATCTTCTAAGTGCCACACCACCACCTGCCAAGCTTGTCACCCCAACAGGAAGCTGGACACTTCCTTAAGCCAAGCTCACCTTGGCCATGTCCAGTGGCTGCAAGTCTGGGAGACAACAAGCAACTCAGGTAAGGCTTCAATCACCCATTTCCTCCTGAGCCGGCAAAATCTGAGAATCCCCATAGCAGTGGGGCACACCTCAGTAAAGCCCACTCTTTTTAGCAAAGCCAGAACAATAGGGAGAAGGTTGTCTTTCCCTTCAGAAGAACAATCTCTACTTAAGCTTCTATTCCCTTTGTCGGATGCTATGAATATGTCTCCCAGAGATGGAGCTATATTTCAAATCATTTTACTGAGAACCTGTCCACATCCTGAGACCAGAACATTTTTAGTCTTAATGCAAGTTACTCAACCACGACCCATCACGAAATTCTTCAGCAAGGACATACTTCAAATCAAATACCAAAATCACTGTAAAAATTTACCCCAGCTCTAAAAATATGCAGTGGTTTCTCAATGTGTTGAGAAGAAAACACTCCAACAGTAGCTGTGAGAAAGAGGCAGAAAGGCCTCTGACAGTAAGTTCAGGTGCCTGGATCCCAGTAGGTCCCAAGATCAGAGAGAGGAGGAAAGGGAAGGGGTGGGGAGTGGTGCTTACCAGAGGGAGGAGCCTTCGGTCCCCGTGACTTCCAGAAAGTCATAACCATCCTCCAGCTGGAAGTCATTAAAGACCAAGGCAATGGTGTCCCCCAGCTCGGCCAGGATGGTCCACGTGCAGTCGGCGTTGTTATGGTACTCCGAGGGGAAGTGGGGGCTGGAGATGATGCCGCTCTGGCCCCGCAGGGTCCCACCACAGGCATCGTCCGCTGTGGGCACAGAGACAAGAAACTCATATGAATGGTCCCATTCCCAGTCCCTGGCACTCACCATGGGCTTCACCCGTGGGAGCCAGAGAGGGTCTTGGACACAAGGTACAGACACAGTGGGGCAAGATGCTGGTCTGAATTAGGACTGATTACAATGATACTAAACACTGAGATAGTCCCTGGGTGGTGCAAATGGTTAACCCACTCACTGCTAACTGAAAGGTTGAAGGTTCAAGTCCACCCAGACAGCCTTGGAAGAAAGGCCTGTGATCTACTTCCAAAAAATCAGTCATTGAAAACCCTATGGAGCACAGTTCTACTCCGACACCCATGGGGTTGCCATGAGTCAGAATCAACTCGACAGCAGCTGGTTTTTTTTTTTTTTTTTTTTGGCTTATCATGTGCCAAGCACTGTTATGAGAACTTTAGATAATATTGCTCTCATTTAACAGATGAGGAAACCCAGGCACGGGGAGGTTAAGTAACCTGCTCTAGGTCATGCATCTAATGAGCGGCAGAGCAGAATGTGAACTCTGGCCCTGGAGTGCACACTCTTCCTCGATGACCAGGATGGAAGGAGAAATCAGCCGTCACATTTATTACCATGATCACAATTGCAGTGAATAGGCAGTTTCTTCTCACGAGATCTTTCTAAACCTCGGATGTGATTAAACACAACAACGACTCAACACAACCCCCTGGGGCAAAACCCAAAGTGCGTTCTAGGCCCTCATGGGTGCAATCTTTCCTTCTGCCCCTTGTCTCACACCTGAGATGTTCCAGTGCTGTGAATGTTCAGACCTCCTGTCTGCTCACACCGTCCCCTCTGCCTATGATGTCCTTTATTCAGAACCACTCCCGTCATGTGTCAAGACTCAACTCTGGTGCCTTGGTAAAACCTGATTCCCCCAAGCTCTCTGCAACTGTTCTCTCCCTATTCTCCACAACACTTTGTTCCTCCTCATTATGGTACTTACCACCATGTTTGAATGTCCTGTTCACAAGCCTGTCTCCCCACTCTAGGCTCTGAGCTCCACTGGGAATCTCCAAGGGCAAGGATCATGTCTTGCTCATCCCTTCAGTATAACCTGGAATAGCCTTGCTACTCCAGCCTAAATCCCAGCTGAGACTTTATATTCCGGAAAAAAAAAAAAGATCAGAGGAATATGCTCTGATATATAATCGTTAAAAGCACTAGCTTTGAAATATTGCAGACCTCCATTTAAATCCTTCCCCTGCCACTTACTAGCTGGATGACCTAGGGGAAATTACCCAAACTTTCTAAGCTTGGCCTCCTGGAGCCAATATGCAAGTAAGTAATTATAATACAAAGGATAAGTGCGGGGCTGCTAACTGAAAGGTTGGCAGTCAAGTCCACCCAGTGGCTCTTTAGCTCTTCCGGAGAAAGACCTGGTGATCTGCTTCCTTAGAGACTACAGCCAAGAAAACCCTGTCACATGGGGCTGCTGTAAGTCAGAATTAACTTGATGGCACCCAACAACAACAATAATTGTAGTACACTGGAGCATATGCTGGATTAGAGATAAGGACTAAATTTTTGTAGACTCTGCACATTTCATTTAATTCTCCCTACAACTCCAAATCTACAGGTGAGAAAACCAAGGCAAAAGAGATTCAGTCACTTGTCAAAGGTGACACACCTCCTAGTGATTTAAGGATCTGGGATACTAAACCCAACAGTCTGGTTCTAGTCCTGTGCGCTTACTGCCTCCCAAGAGTACAATTCACATCATGAGGACACAAGCAAAGCAGCAAATAACTTTGCTGGAGTGAGTCAGTTTGGGAAGGCTAAACACAGGAGGTGCCATTAGAGTTGGGTTTTGAAGGATGGATAGGAGTTCACCAGATCAGCAAAAAAGGGAAGGGCATTTTAGGGCAAAGGGAACAAATGGTCACAAACAAAGAAGTGTGAAAGTGCGAGGCACATCTAAGACAAACAGCTCTAGATAATAGAGGTGAATATAATGAAGACAGAGGAATGATGGGTGATGGTACTGGAAATGTAGAAGGGACAACATGGTAGAGAACACTGCAGGCAAAGAGATTTGGAAGCAGCAGAGTATATTGGAAAGAGGATGGATTTTAGCATCAAGAAGGCCTAGATTTGAATTCGCCTCCACAACTTTCCAGCCAGGTGACCACAGACAATTTATTTCTCTAAGCCACAGTTCCCTCCTCTGTAAACGATGTGTTAACTCCATGAGATAATTAACGTGACATTACCTAGCATCAGCCAGTGATCGGCATACGGTTAGATGCCCAACAAAGGCTAAGTTCTCCTTTTCCTTCCATTTCATCTTGAAGACGAAATGTAGCGGAAAATGTGATTAAATTTGTATTTTAGAAAGATCACTCTGGCTGTGGCATAAAGGAAGTCTGAGTCGGGGTAGCAGGAAGCATGCTCTAGGTAGGATGTATGTATAGCCACCACGGCCCAGGTGAGGCCAGATAAGGTCCAAGCTAAGGCTGTGGGGAGGGTGGGAAGGGGACTTGAGAGATATTTAGAAAGCAGACTCTATAGGATTTGGCAACTGGAAGAGATGAATTCCAGGTTTCTGGCGAGAGCTCTGGATGGCTGAAAGCTTTCATGTACTGTGGCAGGGAACCCAGGAGAGGAACACCTTGTGGATGGAGGGCAACTAGGAGTTAAATTTTGGGCACCCAGAGCTAGGTGAGTCTGTGGGACATCCAAGTGTAGAGATCAAGCTGACAACTCGACATACAGGAGCAGTCTAGCTGGAGATAAACTTGAACTTATTTAATGGCCCAGAATTATTCTTATTAATGTCATCCTACAGGCCAACATCTATTTCAAGAGAAGGATGAGCCCATTTCAAAATGTTAAAGTCTAAGAGCCACTCTTAGGTTCTTACGACCTCAGAAAGGAAAGGGCTTCAACCAGGTAGGTGCTCATGAATGCTTCTGCCCCACACCCTCCGTGTGCCAAGCCCTGGGCTAGGGCCAGCGCTACAGTATGAGAAGCTTGACTCATCTCTACCCTCAAGTGCTTCTCGGAGAGGAGGCGACTGGGCAAACAAACAATCACATCTAATTAGTTAAGAGGGAGGCACTCCTGGACGCAGTGACTGCACGCAGGAAGTTAGGGGAGGCTGCAGAGAGAAGGCAACATTTGTGTTGAGACCTTCACTCATTCATTCAACCAATGTTTACTAACTGCTACGTGTCAGGCACTGTCCTAGGTGACAGGGATTCAGGTGTGAATAAAACAGAATTATCCACCCTCATGGAGCCTATATTCTATTCAGGGGGAAGAGAACAGCCAAGAGAAATATATAAACTCTATAGTATGTTCCTACCACCCGTCAATCAGTTTGTCATACTGCAGAGCCTTGGGTGCTGCTGTGATGCTGGAAGCTATGCCACCGGTATTTCAAATACCATCAGGGTCACCCATAGACAGGTTACAGAGGAGCTTCCAGACTAAGACAGACTAGGAAGAAAGACCTGGTTATCTACTTCTGAAAATTAGCCAATAAAAACCCTATGAATCACAACAGAATATTGTCCAACATAGTGCAGGAAGATGAGCCCTCTAGATCAGAAGACACTCAAAATACACCGTGGCTGTACCAACGGACTTGAGCATACCAGTGATTGTGAAGATGGCACAGGACCAGGTAATGTTTTATTCTGTTGTGCATGGGGTGATCATGAGTCAAAGATGACTCAACAGCAACTAACACCATCACACCAAGGTGGTATGTGAGGTGGTGGTACGTGAGGAGGGGGGCCAGGGAGCATCCCGCGTTGGGAGTGGGGTGTTGAAATGTCAGAAAGGGTGGTCAGGGAAGGCCTCACTGACAAGTGGACATTTGAGCAAAGATCTGAGGAGGCAAGGAGGGAGCCACATGCTTACCTGGGGGAGACCATTCTCAGCGGATGGAACAGCAAAAACAAAAGTCACGGGGTGCAAAGACCCGGGGTGGTTGAAGAACACCAAAAGACCCAACAAGCCGGAGCAGAGTTAGCAAGGAGGAGAGGGCAGCAGGGGAAAAGGTCACTGAGACTGAACCATGGAGGGCTCAGAAGCCACTGTAAGGACCTGCATTTTCACTCTGGGTGGGATGAGAAGAAAGATCCCCGGGAGGCACAAGTGGTTTGCCCTTGACTACAAACCTAACAGTTGGTGGCTCCAAGCCACCCACTAGCACTGCGAAAGAAAGGCCTGGCAATCTCCTTCTTAAAGATTATAGCCAAGAAAACCTTATGGAGAAGTTCTACTCTGTAACACATACAGTTGCCATGAATCTGAATCAACTCAATGGCAAATGTTTTTTGTTTCTGGGGGGAATGAGAAGCCAGTGGAGGGTTCTGAGCAGAAGATGACGTGATCTGATTTGTGAATTCACAGGATCCCTCGGGCTGCTGTTTTGACACTAGACTGGAGACAGAAAGGGCAGAAGGAGGGGCCTGTAGACACTACTGCAAGGTGAGAGATGACGGTGGCTCGGACCAAGGTGGTCAAGGTGAGACATGGTCAAAGTCTTGCTGTGTGAAAGCTGGGCTGGCAGAACAGACTCCAACAGAGGGCTGACTGTCTGGTCGACCACGGGAGGGAGGGTTTCCCAGGCAGAGAACAGCAAGAGCAAGGCAGCTGCAGTAGGTGGGTGTCTAGGTGTGTTTGGCGACTTAAAAGTCACTCAGGATCGTCCAAGTGTGAAGGGAAAGACAGAGAACGCCCAAGCCAGCTGGCGAGGAAGCAAAAGTGGCCTGTGGAAGCCTTGAATGCCAAGAAGCTGAGACTCTTAATGCCCTCCTCCTCCTCCTCCTCCGTCCTCCTCTGGTGCCCCCAATCTAGAGGGGAAGGAAGGGAGAGAACGCAGGCAAGATTTGCCTTGCTTGGCTTTAAAACCAGTTTGCGGCTACTGTTTATTTGTTTTATCAAGTTGCACGGTATTCCCACCCTGGGTATCTCTCTGGCAGAAGGTGATGAAGTCTGACACGGAGGCTGGGTCTTT